ATTCGAGATTTTATAAGAAAATCAGACCATGACTAAATATTCGCCAAGTTGAACTTCATATGATTATTATGTTATTATGGTGAAATTTTTTCAAAGTAAAATTTCCGTTAATACAGTTTTGCGATGTTAATTCAATTTTTAATAAAAATTGATAATAATACATAATTATTGCGCAGTTAATTAATTTAATTTCTTATAAATTTAATTTATCCATAGCGATGGTAAATTTATTTGCATGAATTTCTATTCATCATAATTGTTAAACCAACATAAATATATTTTTTCATAGTATATTTCATCATGGCAAAATCGTTACCGTTTTTAAATCCTATTTATGATACGTTTCTTAAAAATATGCCATTTCAATCTTGAAGAAAGCCTTACTATGATAAATATTTTACAATGCTGATATTCACAATAGACCAAAGTAATAGTAAAAGCGAAGTGACAGACGGAGCGTCTCGAAAACTTTGGTGACGAACCTGCTATTGCAATTTTTCAGTGTACCACATGGCACCACTACTACTGGATTGTACCAAATGGCAACACTACTGCTGGATTGTACTAGCATTTTCACCAAATTTACTAGAATATTTTGGTTTTATCTCTTTCACTCTACTCAAAACTGAAATGCATAAAAAATGAAAAAAATCGTTCACTCTTTGCACACTGTCAAAGATCATTGCACACAAAATGAACTTTGTTCAAATCAAAACAAAAAAAAAATGTTCAAATCAAAAAAAATCTATTACATCGTCTGTCACTTCATTTGTGGTAATAGTCACAATGATGAATATACCCTGCACGGAATAAAAAAAAAAAGTTTCATTGTAAAAAATACAGACAAAATCCAATCCAATAAGAATTGCTTCCATGAAGATATTCTTATCGCCATACAAACATTAATGTTCACAATTTTTTATCCTGATGTAATGAAGTAATGAAATTGGGTTGTTAGCGGAATGCTAAATAAAACAGCAAAAGGGTTTATCTTCCATTTAATTCCACTTAATTAATTTTGGTATCCATGACAGATACGTATTTCGACTACAATGTGCAGTCTTCATCAGTGTCATTCCCACTAAAGAACTTATCAAAATCTAACCCCCTTAAGTACTCATCCCCTAGGTAAAAAAGTCAAGATCATAGGTATAAAAATGAAACTACAATGTGTTGAATCGGAACCTACCTAACTAATAAAAACCAAAGATTTAAGTAAGCTAAAGGAGAAAAATCTATACAAATCTCTAATAAGGAAAATCCCCAAAGGCTTGGTAGCCATCATAATGAAGTAATGAAATTGGGTTGTTAGCGGAATGCTAAATAAAACAGCAAAAGGGTTTATCTTCCATTTAATTCCACTTTTGATAAGTTCTTTAGTGGGAATGACACTGATGAAGACTGCACATTGTAGTCGAAATACGTATCTGTCATGGATACCAAAATTAATTAAGTGGAATTAAATGGAAGATAAACCCTTTTGCTGTTTTATTTAGCATTCCGCTAACAACCCAATTTCATTACTTCATTATGATGGCTGCCAAGCCTTTGGGGATTTTCCTTATTAGAGATTTGTATAGATTTTTCTCCTTTAGCTTACTTAAATCTTTGGTTTTTATTAGTTAGGTAGGTTCCGATTCAACACATTGTAGTTTCATTTTTATACCTATGATCTTGACTTTTTTACCTAGGGGATGAGTACTTAAGGGGGTTAGATTTTGATAAGTTCTTTAGTGGGAATGACACTGATGAAGACTGCACATTGTAGTCGAAATACGTATCTGTCATGGATACCAAAATTAATTAAGTGGAATTAAATGGAAGATAAACCCTTTTGCTGTTTTATCATGATGTAATTATGATCATGATGAAATTATGTTCATGATGAACATACCATTCTAATCATAAAGAAGAAAGCTTTTTAGGTTCACCGGGATGAATTTCAATCTTATCATGAAGAAAGCTTCCCGTGATTATATTAGCTATGCTCATAACATTCTTGCAGTATTATCATCGAGAGTTTCTTACACACTTAATCTAGGTCGGTAAAATCTCCAACAGCCGATTACCTCGGCAATAACTTTTGCTGATATCTCTGCAAAATATCTGTTTGTTAGCTGATATCTCAGCAGAATTTTATTTGTTAGCTGAGTCTCGGCAATTGTTTTACTGAATCTCAGATAAATAAATTGCAGAAATTCTCGGCTGTTGGAATCTCGGCGACAACATTTAAGTGTGTACAGTTTCGAGATTGTAGAAATCAGATAATGATTAAAGATTCGCCATGATGAACGACACATGATTATTTTTTTCAATATGATGAAATTGTAACATTGAATAATTTCCATCGATAATTTTTCGCGGTTGTTATTTTATTTCCGTGAATTTATATTTATCGATAATCAATATATTAATTAATTAATTAGTTGGATTTCTTACGATAATTATTGTATTATGATGAAATTGTATCATAGAAAGCATTTTATTATTAAATTTACGCGATCATAATAACATAATGGCTCTGTAAAGTTTATTCGATTGAGCCTGTACAAATAAAGTAGTTAACAAAAAAATAATAACAAAATAATAGTTTTACCAGCACAAATATATGTTTTCCATGATATAGTTCATTATGGCGAAAAGAGAAAATTTTCCATGATAAAATTGTTTACCGTTTTGAAATTCTGCTAACAGTTACTAATAAATGGGTACGATAAATCACTCATCAATGAGTATTGCCACTCCCACTGAAAAATGGGCAAAACCTTAATCATAAATGGATATTCGATTCCTACCGTGTATTTAAAGTAAAGTTAGGATCTTATCAAGCAAGCACACACCTTTTACGATTCTTATCCTACTTACGGTTTCCTGCACATACGACTTTTCCTAGATACAAGCTTCGTCCAGTATACATTGGCTGTCTCCAACCGGCATGATCCTTTCTGTCTGCTTCCTCTTGCCGGTGCAAGTTTAATTCTTCTTTTCTTGTTCAAATTTTCTTTTTCTCCTATTGATCTTCTGGTCGTGTTCCCATTTGTCCTCAGGCAGTTAATATTAGTACATGATAGGAAGAAAGAAATAAATAGAACAAGTTAAGTGTGAGCCGCATGCATTGGTTACTTATTTGGGTCATGGTGTTGTCTTCCCTAATTATTTGCCTCTATTCGCTCTCATATCGCAACGTTTAACTCTGGATCAACAATAGAAAAGGGCCCATCAGCACTCGTAAACAAACCGCTCCAAAGCCCCCCACTCACAAAGCGAAGGCCACCCACGCAAACCAACACCATCATCGGATAGGGGAAACTTCCACCTACACGAAGATGGTGTTGGCCCGCGTGAGCAGCCCCCGATCCGTGAGGAACGGGCCCTGGACGGTCTGCCCACAAATGTCGATGGGCCCCCCTCCATTGTTGATCCAGAACTCACCCCCTTCCCTCACACTATTATGGTCGGAAAAGAGAACCCATATTTAGTAATCTATCGCGAACTGCGATGCAGAAGGTATTAATAGCAAACTAATCTGGAACTGGTCTAAGACATATGACCCAGTGAGTATTGACACCTCACACTGTTGTGAATGAGCACGGACGCGAGATTTACTAGAGTATTAAATGCAAAACGCAAATTCAAAATAAAACTTGACAAGTCATCGTCAATCCCCTTATTCTTGGGCAGGGTCTGACGATGTGAATCTGATTTTGATCAGTGAACGGGCCCCATATGGTACATTTTCTCACTATGAACATGTCATTTCCAGCCTATCTGAACTATTTAATAAATGGAATTGTTACGCTTCCCCTAAGCGGGCCCTCCGCATCCTATCTCTGTCTTATCTCAAATGCCAATGCTTTGAATGTATCAATATATACATTGGAAATGACGTTCAATCAAATAAACCCATACCCCACTCACTTGGCCAGGCTTCAGAATCGTCCAGTGGGCAGTGCGCTCTACACTCCAAGTTCCCTTTCTTTCAAATTCACCCCAAATTTGATATTTTACCCCTTTGAGTGTTGATTAATCACAATGAAACATTGTGACAGAGCACGGACTTGAGGTTACTAGAGTATTAAATAATCTAGGTCCTATTTAGGATTATATCTGAAAAATCCAAATTTGGCCAACGCCCACCAAGAAATCAATTGTACTTTCTTGCATGAAAATAGAAAAAAAATCCTAACTATTACCACGATGAAATCCCCTTCCTTGTTGAATTATCATCATGATCATGAAAGAATTTCATAAATGATTTAAAATTCGTTCCAACCTTAAGTTACATTTGACTCGATTTGAATTTATTTGTTCCCCAAAATCTTCTCATGATCTCCATAGAGTCTTACGAGTACCTCAGATCGAAAGCCTCATTCTATCTAAATCATAAGTTATCTTGTTTTTGAACTCATTGTGCTTTGCGAGGGATATTTTGAAGCCGTTTTGAGTAGAATTCCAAATTCAAAATCCGTCTATTCCGATTCCGCAACCAGCCTTCGAGTTTTGTGTTTTTTTCAGGTTAAGGCCTCGCCAAAGCCCCGAAACTATCAAATCACCATCTCAATGACGCTCCAGTCCGTTCGTTGTCACACAGCGTACGGTTGCATAGTAATGCGATCACGTAATTTACCGGTTCGATCGGGACGCTTCGATTTGATAACGACAGCTCGAATTAAAAAAAAAACTCGCTTTATCACGCGTGCACCTTGATTTTTTGTTTTGCCCCACCGCGTAACTCCAGCTCCAGCCCCGAAAGCGACTATCCTAATCAGTACACAGCAACATTGTTGCGTTCGTGCCAATAAATACATAAATGTACATGAGAGAGCGAGCACGGCAAAACAAAGGAGCCCAGCTGTTCGTGTGATTTAATCCATTCTCTTTTGTTGCGCTTCTAAGGCCGCAGCCTGCTTGGATAATAAACTCACCTTCACCAAACGCCTCTTTCTCAAATGATCAACGAAACTAATTTTGGTATTTTTCGATTTTCTTTTCCTTTCCAGGTCCTGGGCCCAAGGCTTATGGAGAACCGAAAACCATTCCAGCTAAAAAATACCCTCATATTGTACAATTTCGTGCAAGTCTTCTTTAGTGCCTGGTTATTCTACGAGGTATGCTGCAACTGACCTAGTCACCAAATATGATTTTTGTTCCCCATTATTTTCATAACGATTTCTAACGACAGTACCCAATGTGCAGGACAACATTTACAGTTTTACCTACTATGTATGACGACACACGAAAGACGACGATCAAACCAAATAACCCTTTTTCAGGCGCTCCGTAATTTTGGCTTGTTTCGATTTTGCATGCGCTCCCAAAACCTTGAGTCTACCACATTGGTCATAACCTTACCAGCTATGTACCTATGACCTTCCGGACGGTTGTGACTCCCGTACCATAACTGCTCAGTGTTGTGTGTACAATTATTTGTAGTGAACTACATTGCTTTGGCGAATGTTGTTGTCTCGGAAGAGTTCGACGATCTTTGACGTGTTTGGACGTCCGTGAACCAGATGGAATCCTCGGCCAGAAGGGAACTCACCGCAAACTTCTCAGGGATAACAAGTGCCTTTCACTTTTCGGTCGGTGTCGTCGTCGTCGTCGATTGCGGAATTTGCCTTGAGCGAGAAATGGGTAGTTTGGACGCAGCGGAAGATAATTGAGCCGATTTAATCGAGGTGATGTTTCAATAGTCGGATATACTCCTTTTTCGTGTAATAAGAAGAATCATTTTGGTAACACATAAGTCAGTTTATACAATTCATAAGGAACTTGCAAATAGGTTCAAGGCACAATACCAAAATGAAATTTAATTGAGAAGAAGCTTAGGTGAACTCAACGTTCAAAAATGTTATCTGAGATATGTACCACAAATCCTGTAGAATAATCCAAATAATCATCTCAATTTACTCAAACAGCTATCTGAATATGTTCTATTAATTATTACCTGAAGTCCGTTAAATTAGCCCAACAGTTGAATCAGCCTCTGAATTGGTCCTGCAAGTCCTCAGGACCCGGGCCGTCCAAATTAATTGAACTTGAACAGTTTCTCCAAAATCCCCCTAGACTTGTCCCATAAGTCCTTGACCGCAAAAACTGTAAAATTATCTCAAAAATCCTCGAGATTTGTAATCACCGACGACGACACCATCGCCGCAGCCGTTCAACGAACCATCGACCAATGACCGAGGAAGAGATCAAATCACTCCTCCTTTTAGATAGTTGCACTTGCATTGAGAATACAGCTGCGGCACCAATAATAAGGGGTTTTTTCCAGGGAAACAGAACCGACAAGTACCTACTTACAATTAACAACCAAACCACACCGACTGTAACGACGAAGCCGACCTTCCCTTTCACTTTTCGAGACCGGCCAGGCATCGAAGGGCAGCGCTGCGCTGAAATCTCGTTGGTTTTGTTTTGATGCACAATTTGAGTGCATCCATTTCGAGTCACATTCGCCGGGTCAATGGCCGGAGACAACCTTCCTGAAGAACCCGGAAATCGCATCCAGCTTCCGCGCCAGTCCTGCCAGCTACTAAATCGAATGCATTCTTCTTTTCTTCCTCTTTTTTTTTCTGTACATGATTGTGATCGCGCTGCTTTGCCTCGCTCGCTTGTGATCAATAAACCCAAATTGCACGACCCCTTGTTTTCCCCATGTATGTGTGTAGTGTCTCATGGGCGGTTGGTGGAGATCCTACAACTTCCAGTGCCAACCAGTTGACCACGGTACCACCGGGCAAGCGATGAGAGTAAGTTTCGTCTCCCCTTCAACTTGATACCTCCACCCCCCACCCACCTAGATTCCCCTAATTAAAGTTAAGCGATCCCACCTCACCTCAAATGCAGATTCAGGATCAGGATCAGGACCACAGCCCGATTTGTTCTCTCCCTTTGCCCACGCAAGCCAACCAACTATTAATGGTAGATTAACAGCGCAAATGGCACAGCCATTCTAGTACCGCAGCAGCACCTTGACAACCAACGTGTACTAGAATAGCCTCTCAAAACTCAAAACTATGACCTGGAGAGGACTCGCAGCACAACAGTAGTAGTTGTTTGTTTTGGGTTACAAGCACACCAATATACATACATACACACACACGCATACACACATACACTTTCAGACGCCACCACTCGAGTCGATCGTGAATGTCTCTACGGAAAACCCGCATTACAAACGGGACCGTAGGAAAGCCTATAGGCTTCTCTGAATGGCAGAAGAACTTTAGGTAAATTATGAGCATAAGTGCAAGAAAACGATGTACATATTAGCGCATCTATATTTATAATTTACCCAAATGGGCCAACGTCAGAGAGGTCTATTACGCCACAAACACTTACCGAGTTGTTTTAAGTTTGTTATTAAGTTGTTGAAGTTTACTAACCGTTTCAATTGAGCGCGCAGCGCTCAAATCCATCTGGTTGTAAGTGAGTGTACATATCATCGATGAGCGCCGAGATGAGAGAAACCCTACCGCTAAGACTTAGGACCTCTCGAGGAGCCAGTATTCCGGATGTACGGGACTCGGATGCAGCTAACGGTAACTATGTGATTATCATCGGACATCAATTGAAATAGTCGGAAACAATGGCTTTAAACGCATTTTTCTCCAGAATCAAACCAGGGACGGGACTTGACAGTCGAGCTTCTCACTCTTCTTGATGTTTTTGATGAGTGCCCTTAGAAAATTTGCGTGTGGTGTTTGATGAAGCTGATTTTAATTTGGATTTGATTCGGAGTTTCAATCGCATTTAGCATCTTGCATATCATTTCTGCTCAACCCATTGAAAACAACCATAAATAAACAACAGTATCCACCACACGCAGAGTAGTCCATTTTTCAACTTTACATTCGCTAAAATAAGCAACTAACATAGTCATTGACGTCAACATTGATTTCGGCATCACTGCCAGTAACAAGGTTGCTGTGATGTCTCGCGTCACTTTTCATTGATCAGTTCTCTTCATCGACTTTCTCTTTGGATCGCCACAGCCGTGTTAAGGATATTGCCGTTTCAGTGAAAATAATTCAACGCATCTGACAGGCACAGCATGCTATAGAGATTGCTAAAGTATGATTGTGTCAGTGATTTGTTTTCATCGGGAAAATTTCCCGCTATGATTTATTTTTTCTCGATGAAAACATTTTGCGTATACGTATATGTGACGTAGGCAATATTTCAAGCTAAACAATGCATTAGGTCATAAGTAATAGTGGCAGATTCTCTTCGTCGACTTTCTCATTCGTTAATAAAATGGGTACAGAACCCTTTGTTGCCGTGTTTGTCGTATTAGACGCTAGATAACAGCTTCTTTCATCGATCTGTGTGCTGAAAATAGCTGGGAATGTCTACATGGCCGTGGGAATACAAAGAGAATCTGTCAATGTTACTTAGGACCTAATGCATTGTTCAGCTTGCTATTTCTAGATATTCCAAGCTGAACATTGCATTAGGTCCTAAGTAGCATTGACAGATTCTCTTCGTCGACTTTCTCTTTGTATTCCCACGGCCATGTAAAGACATTCCCAGCTATTTTCAGCACACAGATCGATGAAAGAAGCTTATATCTAGCATCTAATACGACAAACACAACAGGAAACGGTTGTGTGCTCATGTTTTTAACGAAAGAGAAAATCAACGAAGAGAATCGATCAATGTTACATAGGTCCTTATGCAATGTTCAGCTCGACTCACAGTTCGATGGAAGATGCAACAATCGGAATTTAGGCCGTGTTCCACTATTTGGTGAATTCAGTGCCAACATTTCAATGGGGTGTAATTGCTTTTGTAAACAATGACTTTAGTCGTCAATTTCTCGCGAATGAAATCTTACCTCTCCAAAATTACAATGTTAGCTGGTAGAGGAAACATTCCTCTACCTGCTGCTGTCATTATTTTTCATGATTGAGCGTTTATTCATGAGAAATCGATGGCTAAAACCATTGTTTACAAACGCAATTACGCTCCTTTGAAATTGGCACTGAATTTTCTCTTAAATTTGACAGATGGGAAAATTTCAAATAAACCTGCTATTCGAGAAGACTTAAGGCCCAAACGCAATGTGGGCGGAAGCGGAGCGGAAACGGAAAGTTTGACAGTTGTCACTAATGACATCAAGATGCCTAACCGAAGTCGATTTGGATCTAACTAGCACAGACAAACAGACGTAACTCTTCATTGTGTATCTTCGTTCACGCATTTAACGGTTGATTTGAATACTATCAGTTCCGCGAACTACTCGCCGCAGCGCTGGCATTGGATCACTTTGACGTTTCTATACATTATATAGAGCTTTTATGCAATATTGTTTGCAAGTTAGCGAGCAAGCTTGTTTTCCGCGAGAAGGCCGAGAGATGTCGTTAGGGCCTGTTCATAAACTACGTAGACAGTTTTTTGGGATTATTGAACCCCCCCCCCCTCCCCCTGCGTTGACAATTGTCCATACAAAAAAAAAATAAAATTTGTATGGGCCGTGAATAATTGTCAACCCCCCCCACAAAACTGTCTACGTAGTTTATGGACAGCCGCTTACTGAGGTCCTATGTTTTGAGAAACTATGTTTTCAAGAAAAACTTTTTCAAAGAGTTACGTTTGTTTGTCTGTGTAACTAGTTTTCAATCCGACAAGTAGGCTTACTCAGATCAGGCTTTTCCGCTGCCGTTGCCGTTCCGCTTCCGTCGTCATTGCGCTTGGGCCTTTAGGGGCTGTTCATAAACTACGTCAAATCGGCCAATCAGCAATTCTCGCGTCATTTTTCAAATAGACCAATCTACATTGATCGATTCTCTTCATCGACTTTCTCTTTCGTTAATAACTTGACTGCATTCATATTTACGGCTAATTTGTCTACAGTGTCTGCTAAAAGAAAGTATTATTAAGCGTATTGGATGATAATAACAGCTGGACGTGTTTGTGGAGCCGAGTTATTAGAGCACCCGCATCGGTGCGTTGCTATTCGGGTTACTAGTTTGACAACTTTAGCCGTTGCTATTTTAGTTAGCAACTAGTTTACGCACCGGTCGTTGCTATTACGATTCTAAATCTATGTTTTCGACTTTCGCACCGGTAGTTGCTAAACTTTTCGTCGAACTTCGAGCTAAAATTGATCACAGAGTTTCGTGATTGTTTTTTTTTTCGACAATATTGATATCAGTGTCTGTTTTTATCATTTACCATCACACGCAATGAGTTTTGTATATCTTCGCTGTGACGTACGAAAAAACGAACAAATGAGTTCATTACACATCAACGAATACGCGTTTGTTGATATTTACCATTGCTTGATTGTCCAATCCAAAATTGTCAAAACCAGCGATCCTCAAAAGCAAAATAATCAAATTCATTTTGGGCAAAATGATTATTTTGAATATTGTCGATTCCAGAGCCTAAAACCTCGATATTATCATCAATTCAGCATGAGGCAATAATTTTCCATCAATCTGTGCATAGAAACCAACACAACACATTCTACAGCGCTGTATTTGTGCAATAAGAAAATAATCATGTTGCATCTGATCTTCAAAATCATCCCCACCAAGATGAAGATGAATATTGATATTGACAACAACACAGGCGATAATAAACTTCCAGCCACGAATGAACAAAAACAAATGTTGACTTCGATATTCAGAGGTTGCTTTGATCAAGAGATTGTTTTTACCTCAAAATTCAAATTCATGCAGGTAGTTGGTCTATCTGTTCAGGTTGTCTTCATTTTAAGCTAAGTTGAGTGTAGAAGGAATGATTTTTATCAGCACTGATTGATATACCTAACCATTAAGACTGAAGATTGAAGGTTGAGATCCAACTACAGATCCAGGTACTCAAGAAACGGTCCTCCGGAAGATCCGACACATCCAGGGCAATCTAATAGATTTCAGGAAAATTTACTTCAGTGAAGATCAAGAGCTTCAGGGCAGTTCCATTAAATTCAAGAAAATTGCAATAAATTTACTGTAGTGGCAAAAACTTCAGTTAAGCTTAAGGACCTATGGGTAAGTTCTGAAAATTGTAGGACAGTTCCAAGAATACATATCAAAACTGTGAGAACTTCAGGGACGTTCCTTAATGTTCAGGATAGTTTCGAGAACTTTATGGCAGTTCTATTTATTTCAGTAAAATAGAGGGAACCATCAAGAAGTTCCGACAATTTACGGATAGTCCAAAAAACTTAACGGAATGAACTTAAAACAATTAAGAAAGCTACGCAGAAGTTCCAAGTTTAAAGATCTTCTGGGCAGTTCCACTAATTTCTGGATAATTCCAGGAACATCATCAGGAGAATAGCGAGAACATCAGTTAGTCTTCAGCTATGTGATTCCTAATCTTCTATTCGTTGTTCCCTAGTTTGAATTGGTTAAGACTAGGGTTCTGATGCATGGTCATTATGGGTGTCATACCTTAATTTTGTTGCTAAGGAATCCAATTTTGGCTGTCAAATGGGGTGTTTCAACACTCCGAAGGGTATAAATAGCGGGACCTTTCAACTAGAGTCGGATCCTTGCGATAAATGCGAGAATGACAACTGTAAAAAAATTGAATACTTCATCATTTCTCAATAGTGATGGAGTAATACGACATGTACTAAACTTAGGACACGGGATATACTACAATAGATCAAATTACTGGTCGCAGTGGTGTTAGGTCCCGAACAGAGGAAAAAAAAGGGGGTAAGTCACTCAGCTCATTGTGCCGCAATTCGATTCGGCACAGGTTTGGCTCATCCATCGGCACAATCTCGTAGGCA